AATATCACTAAAATGACATCACTCAAAAATGTTGAAATTGGAGTTAGTCATTCTGTGGTTTATAAAAGCAGAGAAGGTTGTGTGATTTATAAAAGCAGATGGAGTGACTAGATTTTTATTGCCTGTCGTCGATATATTAAATAGACATTTTGTAATTATAATGGTCTCAATGACTTGTTATCTGTAAGCTTTAAGCTTTTAGCTCCGTTTAAAATACACTTCAAAAAATTTTATAATAGCCCAGCATTGCCAGAAAATAATTTCTCTTCCAAGTAGATCGGTAAGTGAAAGTTGTGTGTTGCGCGCACCAGATTTTAAAATTTTATTATGTAATCATAGAAGCATTGAAGGCCCGAATTGGAAGTGCTTGTGGAGCACTCCGTCGTTTGGAGAAGCAAGGTTTGCACGATATTCATAATGTACCCCAGTCATCAGTTTATTACCTGTAAAATGATGAAATTATTATCATAGGAGGTGACTCATGAAAATTTCTGGGGGCCAAACTATAAGATCAAGGAGTGGGAGGGATCTTGGATGTGTTGATATTGTTTGGGATATATCCTATAATATGCCTATAGTTGATCAAACACCAGCTCGTACATCGCCGGTAGAAAGCAACGAGCCCTGTGGGAAACCTCTCTCTATCTCTCTTTCTATCTCATAAGATCTCCTATTACAGAGGTAGCTACTCACAAAGAAATACAAGTTGCTGGTGGCTTTGAATTCCTGCAGTCGCTGGAGTACACTGGGCCATCACACACTGTCAAAGGCAGATTATATGTCAAAAGAGATCATCATCACGTATTTTTCTGACCTCTCTCTGCGTCTCTTCGCACCTGCACTAATGCGTCTATCATATTTCCCCCCTCTATCGAACAGTACTGCCGTGAGTGGCTCGCTGTTTGGAAAACTGGACTTAGCGATGTTAGTATTAGATCCTGGCCACTGGGAGGCCAGACATATGGGTCTGTTTGCTTTAGGTTGTTCTTTATCATTGTCTCTTCTTTAATATAACAGTCTCAGATCAGGAGCTTTCCACTTTCTTTGAAAGTACCCTTTATCCAAACATTGGTTGAATATGCAGAGCAATTCCTCGTCTACTAGGGGGGCAACACTTTAATGTGGCCGCGTCAATCCCATCTAACCCTAAAGGGCTCTTAATTAAATCACTGTGAGATATTGAAAAACCATTAAATTCTAACTCCCTTCATAGTATATTGGGGAGAGGGCAGAAAGTACCTCTTTCCCGGTGCTAACTCTTATGCACTGAACACAAAATTTCATAATCTACTATATCTATTCGTAAAATTTTAAATCTAGAGCAGCTGTTTTCATGATTAAGATGTTTAAAAGTCACTGCGTTTAATTTTTGGCAAAGTTCTTGAAAATTTATTATTTATTACTAATTGGAACTTCAATACTCTGATTTTTTAGATCTTAAAAGTATTTCATATTATATTTTTAACCATTAATAAGTGTATATTTTTATATATCACAATATATCTTAATTCTCTTGGTTTATAAAAAAAATTAAACAATTTTATTTAAATTTTAATCGATCCTCTTTTTTCTTTTATTTTTGTTTAAAGTTCGTTCAGACATTTCCTATAAACATCAGTGTGAATATTTTAGACGTTTTATTGCATATTTAGAGATGTTTTCATTGCATAGTGTATTTTATATTTAGTGGTGCACAAAACTGGTCTTGATCTTGCACTTTGCAAGACCAAGACCAAAGCCGCCTAACTGTTGCAAGACCAAGACCAGGACTGGTAAAAAAAATATATATTTTTTAAACAAAAATTTAGATTAAAAAAAAAATTAATAGTTACTAATACTTCTTAGTACAATCTTAGTTACTATACTTTAATAATTTGTATAACCAATATACTTTTGCATTTAACTCTGCTAATTTTTCATTCGGGCTTAGTTAGGTTTCTCCTATCTAAAAAAATACAGTAATATCTCTATAGCAATAAGCTAATAAGTAACTGCAAGACTGTTGCGAGACTCTTGCGCAAGACCAAGAGCATGACCAAGACCAAGACCAAGACTCGTCTCGGCGTCGCATTTATGCATCACTAGTTATATTACTGCACATTTGACGGTTCTTTGTTTCATATTGTACAGTATATTTCGGGAGTTTTTATAGCATAAAAATCCGTGTGTAAGTCATAAATTAATAATTGAAAAAAAATGTTAAATGCTTTTACGTCTACCGCGAGAATCGGCGGCTGATGTGCATTTTTTATGACTTGAAATATATATTGTTTTAACTGTATATGTTTTATTTAGTGTATAAAGTTATTTTAGATAAACCAAACAGCATATTTTGAATACAGGAAGGCATTTAGCGAACACGCATTTTTTGTTTTTGTTTTTTAAAATCTATTTTATAGTGCTAAAATGTTTTAGGTGGTGTAAAATTATTGAATTCAACCTAAATCTCTTGGATATTGAAGTAAAGTTGGTTCCCATTGTCGTGTTTTGATTGTTTATTTTTCAAAGATATAATTGAAATAGGTGATGCCGTTGGTGCAGACTTTCGATTTTGATAGGAGGGGAGAGGGATGATGTACCATTTTTTTAAAAATGGTTTTACGCCATGGCGGAATTTTTTATAATGTGTAATTCAACATAATTATTGTGAAACGAACAAACATAATATTGAATATTTAAAATTAATTTGTTTATATGTTTGTATAGTTGTAAGGATTTTTATTTTTTGTTTTGCTGATTATATATACCTGAAAATATCTTTAAAAAATAATTGAATATATAACGTATTTGTTTAGATTAAACACAGGAAGAAGGGAAGGAAATAATTTGTTTACTTAAATTACTATTTTTTAAAATTTATTTATTGAGTGTTACAACAATCTGTCTTTTGGACATTGGTTATAGTGAGGTAGGATAACATTCACACTATATGTACAAACAATATAAGATAAATAGAAGCAAAATAATAATCAAAAATATATACAATAAATAATAAAATAAAACAACCTAAAAATAAGAAAATTAAAACTAAGCAAAAAAAAAAAAAACACATGCATGCCTACGTACAATCACCGAGGGAACTCCAAGAGAACCCTGCGCTATTCTCTCAACCGCATCACTGGTACTAAAGCCAGAGGAGATTGATCGAGAGCACTTAAGCCTCATACACTCACGTATTGAGTGAAGAATACGGCCATTGCCAGAACTCCAATATATACAATCTACCAAAGGTCGTTAGGCCAGTACCGTTTCAAGCTTCTTGGAGGATTATAGGGATGGGTGGTGCTTGATAGGGATTGTGCAAGAGGATTTGGATGGTACGTAAGGTTCTGGTGAAATTTGGAGAATTTTTCTGGGATAAGGTCTAGGACAAATGGGATGTTGAGGTCATAATGTAGGATTTTGTTGGTTATATAGAAAGGAGCATCGATTATTGTTCGAAGGACTTTTGACTGGAAGGATTGGATGCGCTTGATGTTGGAAAATTTTGCTGTTCCCCACAGTTCTAGTCCGTAAGTCCAAATAGGTTTCAGTATTGTCTTGTAGATCAGTAGCTTGTTTTCAATGGAAAGTTTAAATTTTCTGTTTATTAGTCGGTATAGTTGGCCGTATCGTCGGTTTAGTTTCTGTCTATTAAATCTAGTATGAAGGTTCCAGGTTAGTCGTCGGTCTAAGAGAAAGCCAAGGGGTTAGGAGTTCGTATTCAGGAGATTTACGGGGAGGAAGTTTTTGTAAGTGATGTTTGACCTCAGATGGATTAACTGCTTTAGGTGGTAAGGAGAGTGGAATCGGTGAAGAGAGGAATTCTTCTACTTTTACGGTATGGGTTGGATGTTATTCTGGATGAGGAGTGAATATACTGGAGAGGTGTCTGGCGAATTCCTCAGCTTTATCTTCATCAAACTACCGTCTGTACTCTACCGTCAGGATGGTCAGCACGAAATGTCAAGTATTTCGGTATTCTGAAGAGTTGTTTAATGGTTAGTCGAGTTTCAGTAATTATTGTCACATCAACGTTCTTGTCAAGTAATAAAGTAGATATTTCGTCTGTATGATTTCTAACACCATTCGCATTCCAAAGGAGAATAGATATGGGTACTTAAATTATTAGGAGGAGAATGATAATCTCGCCTCCTCAACAGTTTTATTGAGGGGAGGCGATCGCACCTCCCTCGAAGTCTGCGCCTATGCTTTGTGTACTTTTTTGTGCTGTGTGTGTGGGTGCTGGTGATGCTTTGTGTAATGGGTCATTTCAAAATTTTGGTCACAATTATGTCGCTGGGCAATAATAGAGTTAAATCTCATCTGAAAACATTTATATATATTTTACATTTTCTTGTAATCTATCCTTTTGGAAGCATACTCACCATTCACTGTTTAGTAAAAATTTTGATTATATTATCCAGAAAAAAAAAATGTGAAAAGTTTTCTCACGCCCTAGTACTGTCATAACCCAGATGTACTAACATATTTAACTTTACATCTTGAACAAATTAATGATGCACTCAAAAACTAACGTTATTGAGAAAGGATATAAGGGATAATCACAATATTCAGATGATGAAAAAAATATTGATTAATGATTTCAAAGAGGGTCATGTGGTTGATACTTACTTCCTAGAAAATTTGGATTTTGAAGGCTTAATTAAAAGCTTAAAGTTGATAAATGACATTGATTAACTATATTAATTATTTCAGTAATAGTTGGTCAGACTAGCAATCACATATTATTTTGATGTAATATTTATTTATAGCATATGTTTCGACCTAAGTTGTAGATCTTCATCAGGGTTTGTTCCAATAATGCCCGGAGACTCAAGGGCACTGACAAGGCAAATTATTGATTATTATGATTTACACTGACATTTCTTATGTATTTAAAGCCGTATTAACAAAAACTCTGGTTAAATCTTTAACATGAAATATACATATCAATCATGATTTCATATGTTTCTGTTCCATAAATGATGTTTGTTTTATTTTAATATAATTCTTTACAGATTGCCATTTATATATCTCGAGAATTGGAAAAAAATATCCAATGAAAAGATCTACCAACTTGACAGAGAGCTTGCCTCATTATCGGAACAACTTCAAGGAGAAGTTATGATTTTTGAGCTTTCACAATATATTGAGGTACGATTGTATGCTATACAGACAAATATAAGTTTATAGGCTTATTTATTATTTTTTTTATGTTGTAGGAGTCACAGAGTGGTAGAAAAATCCTTTCCTGTACATTGATTCGGCATGTTTTCAATGTTATCACTTCTAATCAATTTTACTTCCTTAACTGCTTTAAGCAGAGAATGTTTTAACTTTAAAACTTTTCTGTTATCGTCTCCTAAGTGCAAAAATCCATCTACAAAAAATATTTGGTCTTTTTTGTCTTCTATGATTATTTAGAAGGATGTCTAGGTTCTTCAAATCTTCAAATATCTCTGGTTGTTACCATTATAGATTACATACAATATTTTATTGAACTTTGCCTGGTTAGTGAAGATTTTAAAATGAAATTCTGTTGTTCCATTTATTTGCATTGTTATAAATCAAATATTCTATTACATATCAATCAGTAAAAAAATAAAAACAATTGTGTAAAGGAAAATTATGAAATCAAAATACATTTTAATTCCTTAATATTTAATCTTTATTCATATAATGTTTTAAAAATATAAGACAACACCGCAACAACTCGTCACCGAGTCCGGGCCTCAAGTAGCCTCCACCAGTTGGCCCTATCCTGTGCACCAGTCCTCCAGTCCCGCACGCCTAGAAGAGTCCCAGCATCTTGAGTAACACCTTCCATCCACCTTAAGTTCGGTCGTCCAACTCTACTCGTCCCTAAGATCTCTTCTTTTGACTCTTTCTTCGCAATCTCGCCATTATCCATTCTGGCTAGATGGACAGCCCATCGAAGTCTTCCCAGTTTTAGGAGATCTCGCTATCTTCAAAGAGCCCATACTATTCTAGATTTTTTCGTCTTCTCCATGTCTCGCCTATTTTGATGGGTCTATATGTCCTCCTCGATATCCCCCTTTCGAACACCAAGAGCCGTTTTTCATCCGCCTTCTTAATGGCCCATGCCTCTGATCCATAAATTAGTACTGGACACACTGTAGTTTTTTACAGGCTGATTTTTGTCTTCCTTTAAAGATATCGGCTCCTAAAGTTTTTTTATGAGCTGTAGTTGCACCTGTTCGCAATTATTATCCTACGCTTAATTTCTTGGGAGATATAGTTTTGGGAGCTAATCTCGATTCCCAAGTAGATGAAGTTATTGGCCACCTAGAATCTGTATTGTCCTATTTCGAAAAACTCCTCGTGGTTTCCTAGCCTCCCAACCTGCATATACTTTGTTTTTTGCTGGTTTACTTTTAAACCAACATTTTTTTCAGCTTCCTCGGGGGCCAGAAATGCTTCCCTTAGAGCTCTTTTGGATCTGGCCAGTATGTCAAAGTCGTCAGCATAACCCAGCAACTGCACCAGTCTGTTGAACAAGTTGAAACATAAACCATCAACTTGAATACCTGATCTCCTGACAGCTATTTCTGCGGCTAGTTGAAGAGCTAGCTTGCGAGTGCACCTCCCTGCCTCACTCCATTATCTGCGCAGAACTCCTTCGAAACATCGGCTCCAATACGTACTACGCACATTGAGTTCTTCGTGGTCATTTTTATCAGTCGTGTCAGCTTTTTAGGTATTCCCATTTCCTCAAGGATCTGTTAGAGCTCCAACCGGTCTATACTGTCGTACACAGCCTTGAAGTCGACAAAGAGATGATGAGTCGTGATCTGGAGCTCCTTACACTTCTCAAGTGCCATTCTTAATGAGAAAAGCTGGTCGATAGTTGATCTACCTCTTCTAAAGTCTGCCTGGTAATTCCCTAGTTGTCTTTCAACAAAGGGTGACAACCCTTTCCAAGAGGATACTTGAGAGGATCTTGTATGCACATGATAGGAGTGCAATTCCTTGATAGTTTCCTTAGTAGGATTGATCTCCCTTCTTGTGTATCGGGGCTTACAGCTTTCGCCTAGTCCTCCGGCATCCGTTCCTGCTCATGTTGTGGATTTTCTTCCTTAGTTTATCCCCGCAGTATTTCAAGAGTTCTCGCTGAATCCCATCAATCCTAGGTACTTTGTTATTCCTTTACTTTCTGATGGCTTGCTCTATCTCATCCTCTTTGTTGAACTCATCATTGTGGAGTCATCGTGGGAGTCATCAACGAGAGCTTGTTCCTCTTCTTCAGGACTTGCATTTGAATCGTCTACTCTGTTAAGTGCCTCTCTGAAGTGACGTCTCCACTTTCTGAGTACATCCTCTGTTTCTGTGAGGAGGTGACCAGCCTTATCTTTACAGCATGTGACTTCTGGTTTGGTTCGTCTTCCTTCATTCACACTTTGGAAACAAAGTCTGCAGTCATTAGCACTTAAGAAAATTCTCAATTTCCTCCATCCACTTGTTCTCCGATTCTCTTTTCTTTCTTTGGTGCAGCCGTTTCTCAGCCCTTCTCTTCTCATGATAGGTCTCATCCATGCTTCTAGTGTACCTTTGAACTCTTTTATTATATGCCTTGTTCTTGTCCTTGATAGCTTGGAGGCACTCATCGTCAAACCATGGAGACCTTTGTAACTTTGGCCTGGGTCCCAGTGCTTCCTCTGCTGCTGCTTTGATGGAATTAGAAATTCCCTTCCATTGTTCATCCATAAAGGCTGTATTCCACTCTCTGTGATTCTACTGTAAGCTTCTCTAAGAGTTTTCACTGATACTCTTCCTGGTGTTCTGGTTTCTTTAGCTTCCCAGTGTTGAACATCTTCTTGAGTTGTTTCCTCAGGGCTTTCTTGAAAGGAAACTTTGAGCGGATTCTTGCTATACTGAGGTAGTGGTTGGATCCATGTTTGCTCCTCTATATTTTCTGTTTCTTACAAGTTCAGATTTGTATCTGGAGGTTATGAGGAGATGGTTTATTTGGTTGGCCACTTTTTCATCCAGTGATCTCCAAGTTTGCTTGTGGATGTTTCTTCTCTGGAGTAGCATGCTTCCTACAATTAGTCTGTGTTCAGCCGCGAAGCTTATTAGTTGGTGCCCTTTGTCGTTGCTTGTTTCTTGTAAACTATGTTTCCTGATAATGGGCTGATATGCCTGTTCTTGGCCGACCTAGGCATTGAGGTCTATAACAAATCATTTCACGTCTCGGTGAGGGCATTTGTTTAGAGCTTTGCCAAGGTCTTTCTTAACAAGGTCCTTATCCTCTTCTGTGACAATCTCGGTTGGTGAATAGCAATTTATGATGGAATAATTAAGGAATTTTCTTTCGAGCCTGATGTAGCATAGATGTGGGCTAAATGGCACGAAATGTCTAATGATTTGCCTGGCTCTTCTCCTGACAGCAAATCCAGTTCCAAAAGTGTGATAATATTCATGGCAGCTATAGTATATGGTGTGCTGATTCATTTCCTGTATTCCTTTCCCCAGCCAGCAGATTTCCTGGATTCCTGCTATGTCCACCTTGTATGAGTCCAGTTGTGTAAGGAGATTCCGTAGAACCACCAGTCGTTTAAGTGTTAAAATGTTACAATAAGCTATACGTAGATCCTTATGGCGTTTCCTGGGTCATGTCCATTGAGACAATCTGGCTTTTTCCATTTGAAGATTTGTAACAGTGGTTGTTTAGGAACTGAGGGTAGTCTAAAGAAAATCTTTCGATGAAGACCATTGGTGTAATGACCAAGGAACACTTTGCATCTATCCACTCTAATTTTTTTTAGGAAAGTGGTTTGCCTTTGTCCTGTCATTCTTCGAAATGCAACCATCCTAAGGTCACTTTTTATTATGCGAGACATTGATCTGACAGAGATTCCCATTTCCCAATGTGTGGGGTTAGCCGGTCGAGGTCTGTCACATTCAGATGGGTCTCATTATATCTATTTATAGTGTGGTTCACAAACATACGCCTCATACCCAAAGGTTTCAAAGTGTTGAAAATCTCTGACCTACATTTTCCAACTTTGTGTAAGTCGATCACAGCTATTCGGTTTTCTTTATCACCCCACTCCATGTTAACTGAGTGAAAGAAAAATACAAACTAATTGGGATTATTATTCTGACTTGTAAAGAAAATAACCTGATAGAGGTAAGGATTATCTAAACAATATCCAAGGATGTAAACAATGTTCAACTTTTGTAACAGTATTTATAGCAGAACTAGGTACTATTAGAAATACTAAAGCTCTCCATTTTTACAGCTGTAGATTTCCAAAACAACAATGACCTAATTTCTTTAAACAACCCTTTTACATTTCCTTTTCCATAATTATCATTACTTGTCCTCAAATTTCACAATTGTAACGAAGTCCTTGGTTCATCAGTCTTAAAATTGTACAACTTGTATAAGATAGTTTTATTATATTAATTTGCCTACTGTAATGGATCTCGAATTTTTTTTGCCATAACACCCTTGAAATCCTTAAAATTTTGGGCAGTTGTTATCTTCAATCTGATTTATATTAGTTTTAATTATGTTATTAATGAATATAAAATTATGAGATATTAGTGAAGAGAAGAATAGTTGGGGTGCTCAGTCAAAAAGGAAGGCAAAAAATAAATTATAATATTTATTTTTTACATATGCCGACGTTTCGACCTGAAGTTCAGGCCTTCATCAGGGTTAAGAAAATAACCAGATAACAAGGTATGAGAAACATAAGTAATGATGGTAAAAAAGATAATAAAAAATGAGAAAATAAAATAAATTAAAAAAAATTATTAGAAAAATAAAATAGATAGATATAAAGTAAAATGAAATTGTTAGAATAATGACTAAGAACTAAGAGATAAATAATAAAAACTGTTACATAGTGTGGAATGATGAAGTAGGCATAATCAAAAAGGGGTGACAAAAGTGTTACATTGGGAATCTTAGAATAAAATGTAAAAACATAAAAAATAAATATAAAGTTATATAAGAAATGAAAAGAAAATAAATAGTAAAATTAAAACATTGAGAATGGAGTAGTTAGATAGAAAATTGAGATATTGTAAAGTCTATCAAGATGTACAGACAATGTATAATATAATAAAGAGTTAAAAACAGAGAAAAGGAATGAAAGGAAGGAGGGAAGAAATTGAGAAAGCTGAAATAAGAAAGAAATAAAAGAAGTACTACCTTTCTCCTTAAGTGTCAAGGGGAGAATAAAAGTCGTTACAAGGGAGGGGGAGAGAGAAGAGATGTGAAGGTGGCGTCATCTCTAACGGTTATCATACGAAGTTTGAACTAAAAGTGCTGGAAGCCTAAATAGGTACGAGAGATATATTATTTAGAAAAATTATGGAAAATTGAACGAAAGTTAATAGAAAGTGAAAGAAAAAGATTTTTTATTATCTTTTTTACCATCATTACTTATGTTTGTCATGCCTTGTTATCTGGTTATTTTCTTAGCCCTGATGAAGGCCTGAACTTCAGGTCGAAACGTCGGCATATGTAAAAAATAAATATTATAATTTATTTTTTGCCTTCCTTTTTGACTGAGCACCCCAACTATTCTTCTCTTCATTATCCACGACAGTCAACCAATTACCAATTATGAGATATTAGATTATTTACTGACCAAATTGAAAATTTTGACTTTATTTATTAAATATTTAGATTAAATATCATTGTTGTGGCACCCCTGCCATACCATTGCATACCACATAGTGCTGTTTTACCCAGTTTAAGAATCCCTTTCCTAGTGGATTAAACAATGACTTCCTATGCTAAGAAATTTCTGTTTGAATCCTGGCCTGGCACAGTATACTTTTTCTATACAAAATTAATGGGCTTAGAATTAGGATTATGAGTCTTAGATATTTTCTTCTTTTACCATGCTTTACTATATGAATGAATAAAGCTACCTTTACCCAGTTATGTTGACCATCACTATCCTCTATCTTTTGAGTCCAGCTTGTCATTATAAACATTATTATTCCTTTAAATGTTTCTAAACTGTTTGTATTGCTTGAATAAAGTCTCCTAGGCTGCTCTTTGCTTTCAGTGTTTTCTATAATTCTTCCTTTTTTGTGGAATTAAGCGCTGCTTGTAGGTTCGAAATAATTTATATTTTATTTTGTCCAGTGAAAGTAAAAGTAAAAGAAACATAATTTTATGAATGCATTTCTTGTTTTCATATATTAATTTTAGTTTTGAAATTTTGACCCGAAAAATGTTTTTTGTTTTAGAAATACTTGCATACTTATGACCAACCTGAGTTTGAATCATTTTATGAAGAAATGGTGAAGAGACAGGAACATCAACGGGAAAAGGAATTAAAAGAATTAAAGATTAAAAAGGCTGAAGAAGATAAAAAAGTACAAGTTTTTGTTGTTTTTATATCTTATTTTAAAATAAGTTTTAATAGTTTTTTTTTAATTTATTAATAATTAAAAATTATGAAATTTCATATTTAATTAAAAATAAGAACACTAAGACAAAATATCCTTATTTTTAAAAAATGTATTTAAAGCAGAATAATATCTGTTCATATTTGTTCACCTGAATTATTTTTATCCTAGCGTGAAGAAATGCGATTGGAAATCCAGGTTAAAGAGCAAGCTGTCAAAAAGGCATTACGGCGTAGACAGAATTCTGTTCAAAGCCTTGAAGGGGAAGTAGAAAGTGCAACAATAGAAGAACGGTATTTCTTTACTTCTAATAATAAAATAGTTATTTAAATTACTCATTGTGCTTTAAGAGCATGGTAAAGCAAAGATTTCAAAGCACCTGGCTTGAAGTCTAATTTTGACTTCCACATGAATAAAGAAATATTTATATTTTGGTGAAATGTATTTTGACAATTCCACTTAGGTTAGGATTGGGTGTCAACCATTAGTTTGCCATCAGGGTTGGCAAAAAGAGTAGATAAACCCACTTTATGGTTAATAAAAATTGGCCCTATTGCTATTCTAGTTCCCCTCATAATTCATCATAAGTAAAATCTTATCTCTTAGATACAATAGCAATAATAATAGTAAAACCAAGTGAAACAAAATTATTCAGTTATCTTAAACTATGCTCAAGAATCATTTATTTTATTTTTGAATAAATTTTAACCTTAAACTATTTATTTTATTATGTTTCTCCTGTACTAAAATATTATAGTCCAAACAAAAATACAAGCTTGGCCCCTAACGTAACAAAAGTAAGTAATATACTTAAATTAGATATTCATGGTTTTATCTTTTTAAATAATCAACTAGCTGAATAAATCTATAAATAACACAGCTGCTTTAATGAGCAATAATAATAAATATAAGTGGGTAAAGCACTGGTTCATCTGCTTGCAAAATATTTATTTTCTATTGTGTTAGTTAAGGAGACATTCGTGGAGCCATCCCTATAAAAGAGTGCATCCCTAACTTTCCCTTCTTTGGATTGGGGGATAAACATAACAACTGTGGTTGGATGCTGACCTCATCACCTTCTTATATAAACATTGGTTATTTAGTGGGCTGAAAGCATTAGTCACTAATGTACTAGGCTATTAATTATTTTCACCTCAATATTTAGAAGATAGATCTTTCAGTCGTAATGGAATATAATAACCAATTTAGTTACAATTTGGTTTATTACATATTGAATAGATCAAGATTTTATTTTATTTTTGTAGGATTGAAACTTTTTATGGTAGAAGTGATGAGAAAACTATTTCATATGATTCTGGTAAAATAGAAGTAAGTATTGACTTTAAATTACATTAAAATGTTTGCCTATTATTTTATTTCATTATTATTTTTATTCTTATTCAGGGACCGGTCAAAGAAGAATACAAACCATGGAAGGTTAGTGAGAAAGGCCAATCAAGATTTGAAAATGAATTTGAACACATCAAGTGGTTAGGCAAAGGTGCCTTCGGTGATGTTATTAAAGTAAGATTTGTATTTTATATTGAATCATGAATTATTATTTAATAAGCAGTTTTTTTTTTTCTCCACTTTTCTATTTATAGATTAGATCTGTTGATTCCGCATTTCATTTACATTTTTAGTTTTGTGGCAAAATAATTTGAAATAATAAAATAAAATGAAATAATAATGCTGAAGTGCATTCGACAAATAAAATTAATAAGTTATATTTAAGAAAAAGGATCGTCGCTAATGACTCTAACAATCGATGCGACGTTAAAAAACAGCAAATAAAAAAAAAATTCTTATTATAAACAGAAATAATTAAAATTAAATAGCAAATAGAAAGATCAAATTAACTTAAACGTGGAATACTTTATAATAAAAATTAACCATTTTGAACAAAGTTTTTTTTGCTCATTTTCATAACTAGAACTACATGGGAAGATGAAGTAAGGAGGAACTTCCAGAGAAGAGGAATTTAATGAGGGCAATTATTGGAAGACCGATAGAGCTGGAGAGAGCTCTATTGACTTCCTCCTCACAATACATAGGTGATTTAAGTGGAATGATGATGATGATGATGACTTTTGAATTTATCATTTTTTGTTTTGGAAAATTAGGGATTTTATGAAAAACCACGGGTGTTGATTAGTAATAATTTTGAATAGTAAATAGTTCTGATTATCAATAAATAAATAGTTCTGATTATAAATTCTTTTAACTGATTTTCTCATGTCATACCTATTGGTATATATTAACTAATACTTCTCGGGTTAGTTATGAGGAAAATAAAACCAGTAATTATTTTTTAGGATCATAAAATTTTTTAAGATTAAATCTTATGAAATATGTAACTTATTGAAAACTATTGCTGTTTTTATTATATATTATTATTGTTATGAAAGTCAAGGATATTTGCGTGTGTCCCATAAGTAAAATGATTCCAAATAACCGTTGTAAAGCTTTTATGTATTGTTTTTCCGTGATATAGGATATATTTTAATAGACATAATTGCCTAAAATTACATTTTATTTATAACAAAAGAAATTTTAAAATAATGATTTTTCAAATATTTTTCACTTACAGTGGGTATACAACTGTGTTTTTCTCCCAGATCTCCGACATAGGAATTGATAATGTATTTATCAGTGGAAAACTTAATGTTTCTAGCCCTAATAGTTCAGACCTTTATCAGGGCTAAGAAATTTTCTAAAAAAATGAAGGCCTGAACTTCGGACCGAAACTTTGGCAAATATAAAAATAAATATAATTATTTATTTTTACTATTTCTTATTTTGACTGATCACCCCAACCATCCTTCTCTTCTTTTATAATTTACAATTGATTTTCTTGTTTTTCAGAAGACAACAAAGCCAGAACTAACTACATTTTTTTTTTACCTGTATGGTTAACAAACTTCTACTTTTCAGGTTAGAAATAAATTGGATGATGGGTTATATGCCATTAAAAGAATAGAATTGAATCCTTCTGAGAAGCAGTTAAACAAAAAAATTACCCGAGAAGTAAAATTACTATCCAGGTTAAATCATGAAAATGTTGTGAGGTATTACAATTCATGGATAGAAAGCTCTGATTGTAATTCATCTAAGGAAAAAACTGAAAATTCTATGATAAAAGCTAAGGTATCCTATTGATTGAAATTTAATTCTAATGTCATTTACTTTTAAAGAACCATAACCATACAAATTTTCATAGTTACTGAACAGATGATTAATATAATTCATAACCTCTTTCATGAAGAATGCTTTTTCTTTATTATTCTTTATATATTAATTTGAGATTATTTTATGTTCTCAAACTTTGAAATTTCTATTTTATTTTTTCATATTTATATGTGGGTTCCCCTTATAATGTTTTATATATTCGATTGTCAGTTTTTACCTCATTGTGTACGTCTAAGTCATCACAAACATATTCCAAGGTTATAATGACTTGTTTAGTTGTTAATAATTAAATTTAAAGTTTATTGTAGCAATTTTGGATGAAATGCTCAGCCAAATACCAGAAGAGCTACGCATCTGGCATTGCATGCTTTTTAAGTTTTGCAAGAGTAGTAACACAACCGTTGCTATCAAAAAATTTGCGATGTTTATCCAAATGCATTAGATGTTCCCAAATAACAATGGTAGTTTTCCAAGTTCAAATCCGGTAATTTTGATCTTTCTGGCACTTATTGATCAGGAAAACCAACATTAGACAATGATGTGATAAGGGCAGAATTGGAAGCAAATACATGTCAGGCCATTGAGGAATTGTCAAACAGTCTTAACCAATCTTGGTCAACCATCCAAGAACATTTACAGCAAATTGGGAAACCACCACATGTTTAAATGTCACAATACAGATGCGTTTTTTGATCGCTTGGTCACCAGTGATGAAAAATGGGTTCTCTATGATAATCGAAAATGCAAATGGCAGTGGCTCTCTCCAAAAGAATTGCCTTAAAGTACTGCTAAGACAAGTTCACACACTAAAAAGGCACTTTTGTGTGTTCGGTGGAGTATTCACACTGTTGTTCATTTTGAAGTGCTGAAACCTGGACAAACTGTGAATTCAGACCTTTCCTGTAAACAATTGAATCATATAAATCAATCTTTAATTGAAAAGTGGCCAGCGATTGTCAACAGAAAAGACGTTATTCTGCAACATGTAAATGTAAGATTGCACTGCGCACGACAAACCCTGCAAAAAATGAATGAATTGAGATGGCAGGTACTACTTTACCCACCATACTTGTCAATACAATATTGCACTATCGGATTTCCATTTATTCCGATCTCTTCAACACTTTCAAAGTGGCAAAAGATTGGCAAATTGGGATGATATCCAAAATGCCATCTTTGTATATTTTGCTAAAAAAACAATTGATTTTTATCGATCTGGCATTGAAAATTTGCACACTAAATGGCGAAAGGTTGTTGATAATGAGGGTGATTACATTATTGATCAAAAATGAAAACTCGTTAAAAATGTATGTGTTTGAATTTAATGTAAGAAAACGACATTACTTTCCGGTATCCCTAACATATCAGGGAGAAGTAAGATAAGTGGAAAATAGCTGAAAAAGTATTCAATTCTTTTTAATATCTACAAATTTAAAATAAATACTTCTCAGTTCTTTCTTACTTACTGCTTCTTTCTTTATTTTTACTGCTCTAAAAATGGCTACTACCTTTAGAGAAAATGATGCCTTAAGTTATTACAAACAAGATATATTGTGCAATATTTGCCCGAAAGAAAGGAACTGAAAAATTTAGATAGCTACTGAACAAAGAAATATATTGACTGACAACTAGTGAGCATAATTTAATTAATTGCATCACCGTAACTGAAATTGTCACATAATGTTGGTGTGGAAAAAAGTAATACTGAAAAGGTCATCAGGCTTAGTTAATCTATGAAGTGGGAGGATTGTGTTAGATCTAGCCTTGTAGATTTGGGTTCTGCAGACGGAGGTGTGAAGGTAGAGATTGTTGGTGGTGTTATTACCATTGCACCTCTTGGTATATTAGGTAGAATAGAATAGAAAATAAACTTTATTCTAGGATGAGGTTCCTTAAGAATAACAATTATGAACAAAAAATAAAAACCACATCTGGCCAAGAATTACATTAATCAAAATTAAAGAATATATATAATATCTTCAGTGAAAGTATGGAGTAAAAATTTTTACTTCTTTGTTATATATATATATATATATGCCATTTACTGCATATATCGAGATCATACATATTTATTGGGAGCTATGTATCATTGATTTTATATCACTGAAGGACCAGAACAATTATAAATTGTTTATATTTTTTTAACTTAAATATTAATCTATATGATTTTCTCTGCATACTTCATACTCGTATTTTTATTTTTCTCTTTTATTTTCTTATTATTATTTGTTTTTGTAATGTTAATTTCATTTATAATTGTCTAAAGACATGAATTAATATTTTTGGGACCTTTGTTTTACATGTATTTTGCTGAACAGCATGAAATATGTTATATTCTTCTTATTGCTGTTCATTTTTATTCAGTTCATAAAAAATGTTTAACTGGATACCACTGAATCAGAAATTAGATAATTTCAGGCTAATAACAAAACTAAGTAGAATAATTATTAATGAAAAACCTAAAAAAAAAATGTACTGATATTGGCCTCTAAAACTTTTATTTTAATTTTTCAATGCTTTTGAAAAATTTCAATGTTATTTTTTATTTTTCACTTAACTATTTTATTTCAGAATATTAACAATCTGGCACTAGAAATGTTACCTCATCATGAACCTAGCTTTGACTGGAATGTTGATGAAAGCAACAGCAATTCTGAAGAAAGTTCGGATGAAGATTGGGTGATGTTCCAGTAGGTTTACATATTTTTTTAACCTTAACTCAGATTTTAAATTTTATATAGACAATTTTTACTTGTCTTTGAAGAAAATTTTATGCAGTTGACTATACTGCCATTGGTAATTTCCTTAAATATTTTTTTTGTTTTGGCTTCCTATTCAAAATAAAACATGATTACTTAATAAATATCAAATTTAAATTTTCTGATTTTATGTATGGAATCTGAACATGATCTATATCTGTATGTAAACTTTTATAATGCTATTTTAAAATCTTTAAATATTTCCCATCATTTACGTTACATCCTGTATATATGTCATCTCTATCAACTATGAATATCAACTGTATGCTTGATTTTTTTTTCTCAAGGTATATTCAATTATTAGGATTAGTGAATATTAAAGTAGATATGGTTTATTTATTTATTGTTGTATTAATCTTCAGTTATATTTTTAAGGTCTACGTCCAATGAAAATTTTAAAATGGATGGGAATGGAGATTTGATAGAACAAAGTATTGACACTAGTGGGAAAACTACTTTGCAGTATATGTATATTCAAATGGAATTGTGTGATAAAAGTACATTACGGTAACTGATTGTGTAAATTTTTATTAGTTTATAATATTTATTATTGCTATATTTTGGGAGATTGTGATGACTAAGGGTGTTAAAGTGTAAATTCTTGAGGCTAGGGATGTCTGTTCAAATCCAGCCTGTGGGGGTTGAAATTTATTTCATAGCAGACCTAAAGAATGAATCTTAACCTTTCCACTCTAGTTAGAATAGGTTTGGTTGTAGCTTTAGAACAGCCACCCTCTATGCCAGAAATGTAGAGGTTGGGAATAATTTAAAAAACAGTTTCCAATATTTAGTATCGTAATTTTTTGTTTTGTTTTATAATTTTTTTTTTCTGATCCCATTTCTAAGTAAGTTTAAAATATTTTATTTTATGATAAACATTAATTAATTTAAGATGTCTGACTATAGCTGAACATATGATGTATGTTACATTGTTACCTCATTATGTTAGGTAAAAGTATATTTTAATTTTGGATTGAATACATTTAAAACGTTTTTATGTGTATTATGTTGTAATTAATCTTAAAAATTCAACTATTTTTTAATTTTATTAAAAATTATAATTTTTATAGGTTATTCTCAGGTATTATTTTTTCATATTTTATTACTCTTAGGTTAATAAAATCTTAAATCTTAAATTGTTAAGATCTTAGAGGATAATCCCCAGAAAAAGTATTCAATTCATTAACTAATCAAGACACTGATGATTATGAGTACCTTTAAAAGAGTTTACTAAATTTTGTAAAATAAAATATCATTTTGACTTCAACAGAAATTAGGATCTTTAAGTGTTATTAGAATTATAAAAACAAGACTTAGCTGTATAAGGATTATTTATTCCTAAATAGAATGAAAATCATAAACCAGGTCGTTTATCACATTTGTTTCTCAATAGAATAGGCATTATATATATATATATATATATATATATATATATATATATATATATATATATATATAATTTTTTTTTTTTTTTTTTATTCACCCTTTCTCGTCTTTAAGGCTATACCAGGTTTTCCCGGGCCAGAGGATGAGGGCGGGATTTAAAAGACTCACCTCGCACCGGGATGCGAACTCATGACTATTTTTATCCAGTTATCTCACGCATGAGGTTGCTGGGAAACAGCGGTGCTGTGCACACATGTTAGCCCGTTTGGCCACCCTGCTCCCCAAAAAAATTATATAATTATAATATATTATATTAGTTGTATAATTGGTCTCTCAAATATATTCCAGAAGATGACTTGGCTTTATCCTTCCAAAGGATGACATAAATATGAATTAGATATTCAATATCATCCTCCTCTCCCCAACATTGCCATAAACTTTAAATGTGGTTTATAGCCTTGTCTTTATATTTTTATTTTATTAAGAACTGATTAAAAAAAAAAAGAGTTGTGAACGTTACATGAATAATGAATCAGACTATTTCTGTACACAGTTCAATAAAAAACTGATGAATACAATGGCATAGTGTTACTAACGATAGCTACCTCATGATATTCTATTATGGGACCATGTAACACATGATTTAGCTATTCTGATCATGTTCCATTTTGTCTCTTATCATAGTTTACTGTAAAGTGATACTGTTATATTGTAGTAAGACGTTATATGTCTTGACACACATGTATTAGTGTTTTGTTTGAAAATGTAACTTTTTACTTTTGCCTTATACCATTGTTCTTGATGTTAATTTGTTTTAACTACAATATTTTGCTATATTTCATCAGCTTCTTATTTATAGGACATAGAATCAATTCATTTGTTTGATTCAAATCACTATCATTGCCATTTAATTTCTTATCAAAATATCAAATTGATGCTTGTCATTTTGTTACTGATCTTAAGTGTTTCTAAAGTAGTATCTATTGTAAAAAATGTATACAGTTTATGTTTTTTTTATTTTTTAGTATTGCTATTGATGATAATTTATACAGTGATAGTAACCGAGTGTGGAGATTATTTCGTGAAATCGTGGAAGGTCTGTGTCATATACATTTACAAGGAATCATACACAGAGATTTAAAACCAGTTAATATATTTATTGGGTATGATGATCATGTGAAAATTGGTGATTTTGGTCTGGCTACTACGATTGTTTTGCAAAAGTAATATATATTTATTTATAATTAGTTTATAATAGAAAAATGGAAGATAATCTAAATTAATATCTGTTTATTATTATGTGATTTAATTGAATGATTTACTTTAATTATTTTATTATGTTGTTTTTTTTAATGTTTAGACAATCAGTCCGTGAAACTAATAATATGGCTGATTTAAATGAAAAAAATGAATTAACCACTTCATCTCATCAAAATGATTTTTCTCATACTGGCCAAGTTGGAACAACTCTTTATATAGCACCAGAATTAAATAGCTCAATGTTGAAATTTTCTTATAATGAGGTACTTTATTAATTTTCATTCTAAAAATCATGCAATTTTATATTCTAGTCATTCATAAATACTTCTAGACAAATGATAATAAATAAATTGAAAAGGGAAGCATAGAGGTATTCAGTTTCAATTTGTAGGCAATCAACTTTTTGTTTGCTGTTATGTTTCACCGAAAAATGTTATAGGATTTAAAATTGTATAATTTAACAAAATGCTTTCATTTTGATATTTCCTATGTTTCAGCAATGGAAAATTTGATTGTTAGTTTATAAATAAGAAGTATTTTAAAAAATTAACTGTTCTGAATTCCATATTATAATTTTTTCTTTAAAATGCAATTGTTTTCTTATTAAAGTAAAACATCTTTTGTACTAAACACAATTAAACACTATTTCTAATAATTGTTTTTTTATTTTAATGAATGTTTCAGAAAGTTGATATATTTAGTTTAGGAATCATATTTTTTGAAATGTGCCATGCTCCAATTACCACAACTATGGAAAGGTTTCAAATGTTAAGTGAACTGAGAAAACCATCTCCTGTTTTCCCCCCTGATTTTCCATATGATGAAAAATCACCACAGCAGAAACTGATCAGGTGAAGAAACCATATTTTAAAGATTTTTCTACATTTTTTTTATATTTTAAAGATGAATCTTGACATTCTCACTTTGGTTAGTACGAGGCGGCAACTTATAGGTAGCCATCAGGGGTTGGCAAAAAAGAGAAGATCCACTTATCAGACTAGTTCCCTCCACCAGTACCAGGACAATACCACAAATTATTTGAGGAGAAGAATGGTTGGGGTGATCAGTCAAAAATAAAAATATTAAAAATAAATAATTATATTTATTTTTATATTTGCCGACGTTTTGGCCCAAAGTTCAGGCCTTCATCAGGCAAGACACTTGGTGGTCTTATACCACCTCTTCACTTGACCAGCCCTGATGAAGGCTTGAACTTTGTGCCGAAACGTCGGCAAATATAATAATAAATATAATTGGAGTTCGGCTCGAGCCGATGATAGTGGCACATTGGCTCCACGTTAATGTAAATTATGATAGGGAAAAGTTTGTCCAATTGAGCTGGAAATTTACAAGTGGACCGAGACCTATACAGGAGACAAGCTTCTGAAATCTGTGGAAAATTGAGAGAGGATTTTCAACAGGAGCAGAAGGTAAAATAAATTGGTGTGCTCGCGGGACCAGGCTGCTTATCTGGTGCAGCCAGAGACCTGTCGTTCCCCACCACGCCAGCCAGGATATCACCAGCTAGGTCAGTGTATCTAAACAATTCAACATAACCAATCTAGCTATCATCGAAGAAGCCCGACCTACTTTGTTGTCGATTGATTTTTTTTCATTGATTGGATTCCTTGTTTTTTTTGTTTTTTTCTTCTGTTCATCTTTTAAGAACGCATGTACTTTTGTAGTTATTAATATATATTTGTTTGACCAGTATTGTGACGCACGCATGCACACATTATCTGTATATGATATAAATATTTTTTGTAATCTATTTATATAATTTTAACACATTCAAATTAGTTAGTTTATGTATAGATATATATTTTAAATATTATTAATCTATTTATTTAATTTTAACCTACTGACACTATTTGAACTCATTCATTTTAACTAATCCATGTATATATTCTTAACCTATTTATTGAATTTTAACGTCATGACATTTTTTAATCTTTGTATATATTTTTAATCTATTTATTTAGTTTTATTTAGTTTTAATTTACTAACGTACTTTTATCTGAGTATGTATTTTTTAGAATTTTTTTATTTGTTTTCAACATATAGACATAGTTTTAACCTATTTATATGCTTATATATTGATATGGTTGTGTGATGATGAAGAGATATGGACTCGGATCTATATAATTCTATAGGAGTTGAAGTAGGTCAGAGGGTGGCCTCTGTGATATCTGTGGCCACAGTGGGAGGCAGTGATAAAACGCTCGTCAAGGTGGAATGGCAGGATGAAGAAAGCCAAGTAGTATTGGGCAAAACAGTTTCAATAAAAGATGTATTTCCGAGTTTGCCCAATTTGCCGCAGACGTCCAGAGAGCCTAGTAGAGGAATAAAAGAAAGGAAACAAGGCCTGTCCTCAGGGATCAACGACAAAGTGTGTTCGATTTGTGGACTGAGTTTCAAAGGGGATAGAGGTCTCAGAACCCATATAGCGAAGAAACATCCAAGGGAGGCTAACAGCGACAGACTAAGGGGCTTAATTAATGATATAACAAGTATGAGTAACAATGAAAATGGAGAGGGTGAGGAAGATAATATAAAACAACAAATAACCAGGTGGTCGGCTACCTTTCAGGAATTTCTTCGGCAAAATAATATAGATAAAGTGGGCAATTTTTTAAAATTTATGAAAAATGCAAATAATGAATTGCCAGGCCCAGCTCATCCTGCCGTTAAATTTTATAAGTTAAGAAAGAAAAATAAGACTGATATGGCAGACAAGGGTGCTGGAAAAGTGTCGAATTCACAGAGGGCTAACAAGGCAGATAAGAGTCGTCGGCAGGAGCAATTCAATTACGTTATTAGTAGTAGGCTCAATATAACTATTATAATAGGAGAAGAAAAGTAGTCCAAAGTATTATGAACGCCGACGCTCCTAAACAGTGCCCACTGAAGGTAACCGAGAATGAAGGCCACTTCAGAAGCCTCTTTGAAAAGAAAAATCTCTGCAAACGTGCAGATTATGAAAATTGCGCCCCGATGCCAAATCTGATGTCCATCGACGTCCGATCGGTAAAAAAAGCAATTAAATCAACCTCGCTGAACACATCGCCGGGGCCAGACGTAGTTCTGATCCGCACGATATAGTATTATGATATTTCTCATATAATTAAGCTAATTGTGGAGATCATGCTGAGGGTGGCTTACGTACCAGAGCATCTGCGTCAAGGGCGCACAATCTTGGTCTACAAGGAAAAGGGTGATGCCAACAGCATATCATCATGTCGACCCATAACCATTTACTCGATTGTGCGCCGAATCATTGAAAATGTTCTGGACCAAGAATTGAGGAAGCAGATCACCTTCAGCAAAAATCAGAGAGGTTTCATCAGGGGCCTGCCGGGAACACTTGTCAGCGCAAGAATCATCGATGCGATCATAAAGGATGCCAAATGCAAAAAGAATGATTGCGCGGTGGTTTTTCTAGATGTTGTAGGCGCTTTTGACAACATTGGTCACGACCATATCATCAGCTCACTGAAGGCAAGAGGGGTCTCACCAGACTTGAAAGATGTGTTTGCGGCTATCCTGGGTACTAACTCAATTAAGATTACAGTAGGAGCCCACGCTACAAGCTGGATCAAAGTGCGGCGAGGAGTACCTCAAGGCGGACCCTTGTTGCCCTCGCTGTTCAACCTGGCTATAGACCATCTATACCGCGACCTCTGTGAGCAAGAATTTTCCAAGCATTATGGATATAAGCTCACCAGTGACCAAGAATGTGTGGTCCTCACAGGCTTCGCGGATGACCAGGTTGTTTCAGCACGCGACAAGGGTGCTGCAGAAAGGATAATTAACTGTGTACAGAGGATCCTCGCCGAGATTGGTCTGGGTATTAATACGAAGAAAAGCGTGGGCTTAATAATGGATAAAGGAGAGCTGCAACAAACAAAGCTCTTCCTTGAGAACGGAGAAATCATTCATACATCAAAGGCAGATGATACTATAAAATATTTAGGAATCACGTTCTCGGGAGAGCTAGTAATAAATGAGGAAAAGATAAAAAAATTTAACAACAATTTGGATAAACTAGTGAGCTCTTGCCTTCTTAAACCGGAGCAAAAGACCAATGTAGTTATTCAATATGTGTTCCTGGGACTTACCTACCCTCTCCAGACGGCACCCCTTACAAAGATACGGCCTGCATTATTGGAGGGGATTGATGTAAATATCCGCAGGAGTATCAAGGCGATCATAAGGCTCCCCGCTAGTACATCATCGGCGATGTTATATGCACCAAGGAGGTATCGAGGATTGGGACTGATCCGCTGTCAATGGGAGGCTCCTTTGCAACATTGGTCCATTGCCCAGCGACTGTCCAGTGTACCGGATGCCCTGTTCCAGTCTATATTCGATTATAATGCAGAAATAGCCGAATGTGTGGAGAGATTGGGTGTTGATCAGGGCTACCGAAGCATGAGAGCTCTACGACAGTCGCTGAGGGAGAATTGTTTTGAAGAATGGGCCAGTCCAGGTGGCAAGGCGTTGGAGTTTGGCACTTCAAAGAGACTCCGAAAGCTAATAAATATATATGCCAGAAGCAAGTACTTTCGGCGTCAGAATGGTCCAACGCCTTGAAACTTAACATCAACTATGCACCGTTGCGTGGAGTCCCAGGAGCCAGTGGATAGTCGAAGAAAGTTGGGTCCCTCTGTCGCAAATGCGGCAGAGAGTCTGAAACACCAGCCCATGTGCTGGGAAAATGCCCCAACAACTCCCTCCTCATAACACCCTGGCACCATAGGGTAAAATTCGAATTGTTGAGGCTCCTTAGGGAAAGGGAATTCGTATGCTTCGACAAGGTCCATTGTATTGATAGTGATGGATCAACAAGATACGTGGATATAGTTGCATTCTCCATTACCGGAAAGGCGGCACTGGACTTGGATCCAACTGTTCGCTATGAGAGCAACGACCTCAATCAAGCCAATGAAATAAGAAAGAGAAAAGAAGGAAATCTACGAGAAATGCATCCCTTTCCTAAAAGAGAAATTCAGCGAAACCTTCGGAGAGAGAGAGTTCACAGTGAGAGGCCTCTGGTTTGGGTCTCGCGGAATGATTCCTAAAAGAACAGGGAGCTTCTTCGAAGAACTTGGTGTTGATGTCGGGGAGCTTGCAGTGTTGGCCGAGAGCATTATTCTGGACTCCCTTGGGATCATTCATCATCACATATATGGTAATTAGGGGTTGATTATCATTATTTATTTATTTATTAAATTTTAAATTATATAAGTGACCATGTCTTTTTGTCTATGTTCATAGGACTATGTTACTTGCTGTGTGTGCGTTCTAATTTTCTGGTGTTAAAACTTTGGCATTTGAATAATATATTTTTTCGGAAATGTGTATATATAATATATTGTATAATTCTAATTGTATGTATTAGTATATCATAGTATTGATATTGTTTGTGCTGTATAATAGGAAAAAGAATTTGTATATAATTTGTATGTAAAAAAAAAAAAAGATTGATGAGTATGCTGTGTATCATCGAGCAACGCTATATAGTAGGGCAGCACTGCTTTAAATATAGTATTTCTCTCTCTTTACTATTTTTTTTTTTTTTTTTTTTTTTTTTTTGACTGATCATCCCAACCATTCTTCTCTTCAACTATTCACTATAGCCAACTGTCAATCCACAATTATGAATCTATATACACGGGGCCAACGACCAGATAACGACCTCCTTAAGTCTTGTGCTACCTCTTTACTTGACCAGCCCTGATGAAGACATGAACTTTGGGCCAAAACGTCTGCAAATATAAAAATAAATCTAATTATTTATTTTTACTATTTTTTTTTTACTGATCACCCCAACCATCCTTCTCTTCAATTATTCACTACAGTCAACCAACAATCCACAATCACAAATTATTTGATATTAAGGACTTTAAAACCATGCTTGTTGAAGTTAGGATAATAATTCTAATTCAAAGATTTTAATAAAACGGAGAGCTCACATAATAAATTAGTTTACAACAAAAGATTTTTATATTTCATAGTTATCATTGAAATTTTTATGTTTTGTTATTTTCTCTAGGTGTATGCTTCAACATGATGTTGATCAAAGACCAACATCTCAAGAATTGCTTCAATGTCAGTATATTCCTCCTCCAAAATTAGAAGAAGCAGAAGTTAAAGAAATGGTTCGCCGTACTTTAATGAATCCACAAAGCAGAGATTATAAATATTTGATTGCTTCTTGCTTCAATCAGGTAAGTGTTTATTATTTTTTTTTAGTCTTTGTAAGCAGTATTAAAATGGTGAAATCTAGTTAGTTTTTATGAATCTAGTAGTGTTTAGTTGTGAAATAGGTTCAAAATTATAATTAAGACTCTGATTTGAAGAATTTCTCCTTTTGTAGTGTGTTCAATAGGACATTAAATTTCTTAACAGATATGTTATCTGGTAGGTTCAAAATATAAAATCATGTAAGCTTTTTTTTTAAATACTGGATTAAAATAGGTCTCTTAGTAGTTTTCAGAATTTTATTTAATTGTTAAAATGAAGATGTTTGTAACAATCCAATATATAATTTGTAGATTTTTAATGATTATTAATAACAGTTGATATTCTATTGTTAATATAGTTAATAAAATTAACTAAAAATATATTACTTATACAATTTTATATGGAATTTAATTTTATTTAATACAAAAATTAAGAATATGTGTAAAATGAAATTTGGATTTGAAACAGTAACTTCCAACAAAACAACTATTTTTTGAGTGAGGAAATCAATAATTATTTTGATTCATAAATAGAATGATTGAAAATTGGAACCACACCCCACCATTAATTTCTAAAAAAAAAAAACAAAAAAAAAACACATTTCCTCCTGTCAGATTTTGTTTTGTGTGCAGGAATGACAATTTTCTATTTGAACAGTGCCAATTCAATATTGCCTACAGAAGTATTTGTTAAAGAAGTGGATTGGAAAAGAAAAAAATATATATGCAAACAATTACATTTATTATTACTTTTGTGTTAAAATGGGAAGATTACTTTAAGTGGTTATTCAATTTTATATCATTCTTTGTTTTTTCAGCTCTTTGAATTCTAATACATAGGTGTAAATTAAGGATTTTTTACAAATCTGAACGTGATTAGCACATTGACAAAATCATTGGATTTTCCGTTGTGTGATATGTTTAAAAGCAGTTTTATTTCTGAAAGTTTTAACATTTTATTTTTTTTTTATTATTGAATTTTACAACTGTATTAAATGATAAATACAACTAATAAATATGAAATAAGTAACATGACATGTACAACAGGAAGAGCATTACCCATTGGATAATTGGAGAACTACCCATTGGTAGCACTCTAATTATATTTCTATATTAGAAGGTCCCGAGGCCATCTTCTTTTCAGACGCCTCGGGGGGTTATCAGGAATAGAAGAGGAAGCAAGGTTGGAAACAAGAGGGTTCAAATGGTTCAGAAGTTTATTATGGTTGGATAGGTATCTGGATTGAGCTAAATCGAAAACATATGATACATTAAGGTCGTT